CGTCTCCACTTCTCTAGCGTCCAGTGGCAGCATGCTTTACAACACTGCATCCGACGCTTTGCATTGCACTTGGTGATATAAGGCTTGGATGCAGCTGCTCAGCCATGGAAACCCATTCTATGAAGCTCTCTATACACTGTTGTTGTGCCAATCTGAAGGCCACACAAAGTTTGGAGGTCTGTAGCTATTGGCTCTGCAGACAGTTGGTGACTTCTGTGCACTGTGTGCTTCAACGTGCACTGACCCCGTTCTGTCATTTTACGTGGCCTACCACTTCGTGGATGAGATGCTGTTGTTCCCAGTTGCTTCCACTTTGTTATAATACCAGTAACAGGTGACCGTGGAATATTTAGTAGCAAGGAAATTTCACGTAACGCCTGAATCCAATGATTTGGAGGGGTGTCCCAATACCTTTGGCAATATAGTGTATATAGCTTATTAGTTATAAAGGGTCCCAGTACCTTATCCCTCTGCAGAATCAGCCAATGTTTTTTGAGAATTTTCTATAAAAATGAATTTCTACTGCATATTATAATTGGTGACAAAAGAAAATTATATTGTGTTATCTTCCCTATCCTTCTTCTCCTTACCAGGTTTTAAAATCATGTCCCTATTTCCCATTTCAATTCCTTTTCTCAGCTTCTTTAAAAAGTTTCTTATACCCATACTCTGGAGTTTCTTATGGGTTCAAGAGAGAGAGAGGCATAATGCTGTCCCTGTACAAAAAAGTTGTATATGCAGTTCAGTGTTGGTTGCATGAAAAAAAAGGAGAATGCCCGTGCATATAATAATAAACCGGCTACAGACCGTACTTTTGAGAAAATGAAAATCATTTATGAACACAATAATTTCACTTATGTATATTGCACCACATCTCAGGACACCAAATTAAAACTGACAACGTTGTCACTTCCACCCACATGCATCCACACACCCCTGCAGGACTCCAAGATTCCACCTGTAGGGGTAATTTGATTGGACTAAACTATTGGCTCTTATTGTCTGTAAAATCTTTATTTGATATCTTATAATTGATAATATTGATAATTATGATATCTTTGCTATCCTTTAAAACGGTGTTGGTCTTGGTCACCTATGGCTGAATAGAAAGTCAATGTATTCTTCCAAGTGGCAATGTATTAAATCCTGCTAACGATGGGTCTTCCCTTTGGCCTATTCACTAAAGGGTGAAGGGTTTGGAGAAGGCAGGAGAAGTGAACAATCAAGGACAAAATAGCTGATTTGGAAACATTCTCCAATTCAGCTCACTTTCCAGTTCAGCTATGTTGATCTAGATTGATCACTTCTCCTGCCTTCTCCGAACTCTTCACCCATTCGTGAATAGCCCTGTAAATCTTTGTGGGCTTTGGGTACATGATATAATGTTGGGATCTTGCAAACTAATGGGTAGAAAACATAGGAAACTGGTTCTTAGTACAAAATGGAACTAACATTAAAGGAAGAGGCATGTTTTGTAACGATAGGCTTATAAACTAAAGAGTCCAATAAATTGAATTAATATTCACTTCTGGTATTCAGCCATGTGAAAAGCAAATTCCTGTTCACTTTAAATACCCAACCATGTGCAGATAAAATAAGTAAACAGTTATTCACTTTCCATATGTTTGGCTAATTGAAGTGAATACACAATTTATTAACTGAATACTCTCAACACCCTTATTAAATCAAACCAATTGTATGACAAAAAGATACAATTATCTAAGCGTAGATCTATTTCTAAAGTGGGTTTTGAACAGTTTGTGAGTGGCACAAAGAATAAACATGTGCAAATTACAGTTGTAACTACACTGTAAAAAAATAATGGATAAGAATTATCCTTTCTCAAAAATATATGGAGGCAGAAATACGTGACAGAGTCTCCAAGGTTCTGACATTCAGAAAATACATTAGATGAATGTACAAAGGTGTAACCCAATGCAATTTAAAACACTGGCATGATAGTTAAAAGAGGGAACATCATAATTATATTGGGACCTGAAGCTCCAGGAACAAAATGAGTTTACTGAGAAAGTTTTAACTTATGCAATGACAAATGAGTGGCACAGGGATTAAATATGTGCAAATCACAGTTATAGCCGCAGTGTAAAAAAAATAATGGATTGGAAGTTATCCTTCCTCAAAGATATACTGAGACAGAAATGTGTAAGAAGGCTCATTGGAGTTGATTTACTAAAGGCAAATAGGCTGTTCACCTTACAATGGAATTTTCTCTTAGCTTATTAAATGTGGTGAAAAGGGGCGCATGCGCGGCGCACTCTATGGCGGACGTGCCCTAGAGTAGCTCTGTACCTCAGTGGTGAAAAATAATTTTGTAAAGAATGCCAAATCACGAGCAATGACAATAAAATAACAATATTTTTACTTGCACATGATTGGCAGATGGAAGTCAGTAGAGCTTCTCTTCATTCATTAAGATAAGGGAAAATTCCTATACAAACTGAACAGCCTTTAGTAAACCAACCCCATTCTTTCAGCAAATACATGTTAGATGAGTACAAAGAGGTGACAACTACTGCAATTAAAAAGACTGACATGGCAGTTTAAAGAAGGAAAAGCATTAATTATTATGTTGGGACCTGAAGCTCCAGGAACAAAATGTGGTGGTGAAATAGTTTTAAGTTATCCAATGACAGATTAATCCTTTTACGTTGTCCATCATGTTTCCAGGCTGACGGGTTTGGATGAATTACGTACTGCTCAAAGAAAAAAAATAATTAAACTCTTCTAGCATTGTAAAAAAAATAATGTCCAGAAAGGGGTATGCCTAAGAGCTAAGTGCTCTCCTCGTATAATAACGAAGATGACCAGAAAAGTATGTACTTGTACGCTTAATTTCCAGCTGCAGGCGTTAAAACCTGCTCCTAACAGTGTTTTGTGGTAATGCACATGTGTTTAACATGCAATACTTACAAATTAACATGCGTTTCCTTAAGGCAGTCTGTTCATTTTCAGTGGGCTGCCAATATTCCATCACACATATGAATCCAAACATGCATATTTCTTTAACGCAGAGCTCCACGAGACACAGAAGGTTTACATTGCTGCACTACATGGTTAAATGCATTTATTTACTGGTGTGTTACTGCAATGCACTAGCAACAAGTGGCCCATATAACCTTTTACACTAAAAATAATACTTAGCAGGTTAGCATTTCGGAAATTGTATAATCATTACATTAAACAACAGGCAATAAGACGGGTAGTCAGTGTGAATGCCACTTTTTCTTTTCTATTGTAATTTATACACACTTATACACACATAAAAAAAATCACTGAGCCAATATAAAGCCTAATTGTAGTAATACTTTTTTTGGTTCATGAAACGAATGGCCTACATTTTACAGAAATGTCAAAATAAATGCCAACTCTTCACATAATTTTTCAAGTTAATTTTTATGATGTTAAAAGATGAGAAAACTGAGAAGATCTTTCTTTTATCATGTGTTTCTAAAATACATGTGCCTAATTTTCCAATATCTTCCAACAGTTTGCTTTTTTTATTTCCTAATTTACTTCTGTGGTGTACTCAGATAATATTATTATTATTATTATTATTATACAGGATTTATATAGCGCCAACAGCAGCGCTTTACAATATAAGGAAGACATTATAATCACAGATACACGCTATATTGTCCAAGGGGAGGGACAGATTTGAATGTGTAGTATGTAAAGCACTGGGTAAATTGTTGGTGCTATATACAGTATATACATGTAATACATAGATACATTTTGGTAAACGCCAGGTAAATATTGGAATGCAGTGCATATAGTAACTACAACATTTTTTTTTTTAACCTAATTATGGCTAGAGCGGGGAAAAAGTATAGACCAGATACAATTTTACTTTGCCATGCCACCAGGGGCATATCTACCGCTGGCAAATAAGGCATTTGCCTTGGGCGTCACTTTTCAGGGGGGCGGCAAAAATGCTGCCCCCCAAACGAGAGAGACAGAACCTCACCTTCCATTACCAGTATCGGCATCTATACCATTATCGGTGCCAATACAGGGCATTTTCACGAGTACTCATAAAAATACTTTTCTGTTTATAACAAAACACTTTAACCTCCCTGGCGGTAATCCCGAGTCTGGCTCGGGGTGAATTTTCCATACCAGGAGCGGTAACCCCGAGCCAGACTCGGGGCTGCAGAGAAAAGTGACAATTACCTTGTCCCTGCGAGCCCGCGGCGTCCTCTGCTGTACGCGGCCCGAAAATGAAACTAAAAGTCAGATGCCGGCATCTAACTTTTAGCTTCGTTTTCGGGTGTCACAGCCGGCGGGAAATTCAAAAGTGAAAAGTGAAAATGTATTTACAGGGGATCATTGTAAATCTATTGCCTGCAGTGCATTGGAAGTGTGTACACAATACAATGTAATCTCCTATGATTACACTTATGTATCAAACTATTTCACTTCAATTTTGTCCCTAGAGCTTTGTCCAGTGCCCTGCCTGACACTTTTTCACAACTTTAATAAATTAAAATATAATAAATAATTGTAAAAAATTATAATAAAATAATTTAAAAAATGGTCCAGTAAATGGGAATTCTGGGAATAATGTATTATAATATAATTTTTTAATTTTGTGTTTCAAACTTTATCATACCTGGGATGTCTACTGGACTCTTGTTTGGACAGATTTACGTGAGTTATTCCTAAGATTTACTAAGAATTGCAGGCCTACAATACATAACACCAAATTTCCATGCAAAAAATTGTACCGCTTTTGGTACAAAATTCCTGACATAATCATACCGCCAGGGAGGTTAAATGATATATTTTAGGGATGTCCTGATACCGATACTAGCATCGTTATTGGGACCGATACATGGCATTTTCACAAGTACTTGTGAAAATGCCCCGATACATAGCGCCGATGCTTGCACTGTTTTTTTGGTAGCTTCAGGCTACCCAGAGGTACTGCGCGTGTTGGGGTCCTCTGGGCAGTCTACCGGCCAGCTAAATTAGGACCTCACCTGGTGCGCCGCCCACCGGATCAGCACTGACACGCTGCTGCTCTCTCGCCCTGTGCTGACTACGAGAGGATGCGTGAGGCACATCGTCAGGCACCTCATGAGGCACCAGGGATCGGACAGCCATCATCGAGCAGTAAGTTAAACGGGGCTTGTGCTGGGTGGGAGTGTGAAGAAGCAGGGGATCATTGTAAATCTATTGCCTGCAGTGCATTGGGAGTGTGTACTGTATATGTACTACATATAGAGTACACTGCAGCAATAGATTTACAATTCTCCCCTGCTAATATGAATTGGTTAAATGACCCATAGTACATAATATCTAGTTGTACTATGCATCATTTAACCTATTCATGTTGTTCATGTTCCTTTCCTGTTCTAGTGACAACACACATTTTTAGATTTCCCCTCACATTTATTCCAAGTGACAGTTGTTCATTAACGCACATTTCCTTGGGTTTTGTTTCTTTAAAAATGCTCCTAGTACTGAAGAATCTGCCAGAAATCCAATGTGCTCCTAACCTGCTTGATCTGACAACACAAAGCCTCTGCTGCACTGAAGCAGTGTTGTCAGCTCTGTCTGAGTTATCTTGTATTGATATATGGGGGAGGTGTCCAGTAGTCCAAAGAGATGAACTGGGCAAGGTTGAAAACACTGCTTAGGATTTCAGTGCAGTAGAGGCAAAGTGCACAGGGAGTTTGGGGCTCACTGGATTTCTGTTAAGATCAACAGGTATTTTTCTGTGCAAGAGCATTTTTTAGAGCTAAAACATAGAGAAAGGCATGAATTGCAGAGATGTACTAAATATGATTTAGTTTTTTTTGTCCAGGCATACATTCTAAACACAAATGGCTATTACTTATCTTCTTACTTTATTTAAACTTTACGTATCACTTAAACTTTACCGATTAAAATGATGAAATACCTTTTTTTCATATACGCATTAAAACAGACCTTTACCCCCTTTTACTAAAAATCACATCAATATGCCACTCTGCATGCTGATATGAAATCATCTTACAGTGAATGAGTTTTAAAGCACCCCCTCCTTTCCCAGAACATTGATTGCTACAGGCACTGTATAGCTATTAATCCTCAAAGTTCACAGCACAAACACTGAAGTACTTCAAGCGTATTGTAAAATTAAATTCAAAAAGCTTTACAAGAGGTAGGTTGAAATGTATATTTTAATTTGCATTTTTTCCATTTCCTTATACAGCCAGTTCTTCAATCGCTAACTTTCCATCCATTTCTGTACCACAGATAGTCCTTGCTGTGCTGCCTATTCTGTTGTCTGAGTGTAAATAGCACTCTGTGGAACCATAGACATTGAGATTTGATACTACAAAGCTTAATTGTGTGAGCTGGCTTCTCTCCTTTTACATCTGAGATATAGAGGAGAGCAAGAGCTTTCCTGAAATATATTTGCAGCTACTCATGTAGATTATTTTATTTATTATAAGTATCCTTCACAGACCTGATAATCACCTCTAAACTTAATAAATAAAACAAGGGGGTGTTTTCCCATAGCCCTGAACTAACACCCAACTGGGGAAACATGCAATGAAAAAATGGAAGTTGAGTTGGAGAGCTAAGTGGCTCTGTCTAAATGTTACATTAAAATGTATATTGGTAGTCCATGAAAACAGCCGGATTTCCCACAAGGCCGCCAAGGCCCAGCCTCGGGGCAGCAGGGAGTAGAGGGGCAGCAGGGGTGTGGAATTCCTATCGTCCGACACCCAGGTGGGTAGTTTTTTTTCTACATTTAGCCCTGCTTTGGGTAAGCAGGGCTAAATGTAGAACGGGGAAGCTACTGCTTGTTTTGTACAAGTGATCTCAGTGATGTCGCCTAGATCGATTTTATGCAGCCTGCAGGTTAATAAGTAAAAAAATAATAAGATAGATAAATATTTAAGAAAGTAAAGAAAATAATAGGGAGGGAGCAGAGGGGCAGCAGCGGTGTGGAATCTCCCGACGCCCTAAATATGCAGTTCGGGGTGCCGGGCAGTAAGATGTTTTCTACATTTAGCCCTGCTTTAGGAAAGCAGGACTAAATGTAGTGTGAGGAAGCCACTTGTTTACAAGTGATCTCGGCGATGTTGCCAAGATCGCTTGTAATAAGACTGCAGCTGGTCCGTCCTCCCTCCACCGCCGAGTATCTCTCCTCGCTGGCCGCCGATGTTTTCAAGTTGGAGAGCGGCAGGGTTAAAACTAACCATGTAAACAGTGAGAGGAGAAGGAACTCCTCTCACTTGTCACAGGAGTTCCAGCACATAACTCCTGTATTGGAGGTGACAGGTTCAGTAAAGAGAACCTGTCACCTCCAAATGCTATCACCCAGGGGTTTGTTAGCTCCTGTGAGGTAGCAATAAAGTTAAGTGAAAAAAAATTGATTATAAAAAACATTAAAAAAGTAAAAAATAAGAAATAATAAATTAAAAAAATTAAAAGGTGATTAAAAAATAAATAAGAAAATAATTATAAAAATTATAAAAAATAAGATAAAAAATTATAAAAAATAAAAAAGTAAAAGATGATAAGATAAATACAAATTTCAAAAAATAAAAAATAAATAAAAATAAAAAATGCTTGATAAAAAAGTAAAAAAAAAGAAACAATAAAAAAATTAAAACTAAATTAAAACTAACTAACGGGCATTGAAGAACCTGGCCTTGGGGCAGCAGGGAGAGTAAATCTGGCCCTGCATACACAGCTTTATTTTTTTCGTTCAATCGCCAGTCTGAATGAGAAAAATAGAGCATATTCCTCCATCAACACTACGAGCAGATTCCTCCATCAACATGAGCATGTTGATAGAACAGTGGAAACTTTTCATGACCTCGAGGGCAAATCTTTCTGGATTCTACAATCAAGAAGGTGATTCGCTGAAACCTACTTCATGGGAGTGTACCAAGGAGAGAGAAAAAGGCCCTGGCATGTCTGAATGAGAGAATGATGGTGCTAGCCGAATGAAAGAGAACCCAGTTCCTATCCCTCCCCATTCAAATTCCCCCTCCCTATTGTTATTATATTAGATTTGATGTATATCCCTATTTGTAAATAAATCCAACCCCTATTTAAGATTTAGTTGTTCGTCATGAAATCAAGGCATCACAAAACTGCACATTCTGCAGCTATAGATACACTTCAAGGCATGTTGACAAAGAGTGAAAAACAAATGTGGAGGGAGGTGAGCTTCAGGGTGCGGATGAATTTGCATACGACAAGATCTATGTTTCCTTTCTCAAAATACATTTCTACAATTTGCCTTTTGTGCAGTGTTTTGTCTAGTAAGGGCACACAAGAGTTTTTACTGCCAAGAATTTTCTATCATTAAATATTGTTAAATAGATATTAAATATGGGGAAATCCACCCTGTCTTTTTATCATTGTAACCATTGTAATCGGGACAGAATATGATGGGAACATTGTACAGCTGTCACAAGAATCAGAAGATTAGGGGAAATCTTCAGATGGGGACACTTGATTTAGAGACAACTGTCCGTCTTTCTCCCACTTTGACTGCCTTTCGGCGATCTCTTTAGAGAAGCCTATCACTGAACTCTTTCTCAAATAATTAATCCCCTTACAGCTCCTCATGTATCACTTGCCCCTCCCTCTTGGATTGTAAGCACTCACGGGCAGGGCACTCATTACCATCTTGTCTTGAATTGTATTTTAATTATAATGTCTTCCTTATATTGTAAAGCGCTGTGCAAACTGTTGGCGCTATATAAATCCTTTATAATAATATTAATAACATAATAGGAGCTACTCTAAATTAGGAGAGATTTTATTTAAACTTTTTCTCTGTCTCCAGGACAGAAGGTGAAGGGAAATCAACACAGACAAAAAAAAAAAAAACTGACGGGGTCACTTAATGTCCCATACTCTATAGAAAGATAGTGGCTTTAGATTTACTTCAAGAATTTAGATGACTTGTATGGGTCTGACCAAGACATAAGCAGCAGTAATTGGGTCCTTCTGAACTCCAGGATTGCGGAAACAACTATGAATCATGATTGATGTAACAGAAGTGCTAGTGCAAGGGATTACATTCCCACAAATTCATAACTATAGCCTGGATGGGATATACAAGGGAATGTAAAAAAACATACCCTCTTTCTCCTTATCATGTGTCCCTTCCTAGTGTAAAAGATCCCCCCAATTGTGGTCTTTGAAAAGTGAAAGTATTTTGTGTGCATTTATCCATTCACCGGAGCAATCTTACATATATTTTTGTCTGCTATTAAGGAGTTCACACATGGTTATGCAGATTAGGTGGGAGTTATACATCACTTGTGAGATTCAACACAGGATTTTCTATATGTACACATTGTATGAGATGTACCAGCACGTTTGTTTTTTGTTTTTTTCACTATCATCAGCACAGGCATTTGGCAAAACAGGTGTTGTGTATGACACAAAATTGTGTATCCCTTTGTGACAATTTTACATTTTATACAATTTTTTTCACATTTTAGGAATATAATTTTTGAGTTTGAAGCGCAGTGCTATTTTCTTTTTTCCTACATATATTTGTGTCTGCTATTAAGGAGTGTGGGGCATCAACGTGAAACATAGGGGTCTATTCACAAAGCTGCCGAAGGATCTAACCGCAGCTTCGGCCGATCCTTCGGCTAGCTTCGGCCCCAGGACCCCTTCGGTTCAGTAGAACCGAAGGGGTGCTGTACGGGCTATTCACAATAGCCCGTACAGCTCCCGAACGTGGCCGAGCGGCTCAGTCGAGCCGAACGCATATGCATCGGCTCGGCCGTGCTGAAAGCCAAAGCTGGCCGAGCGGCTGCTTCTGACAGCTGGGCAGAGCCAGCCGTGATCTTACGGCTGGCTCCGGCCGCTTGCAGAGAGAGCAGCGTCCCTTGTTACCTGCTAACCAGGGACACTGATCTCCAAACAGCTAACTCTCCCTGGCGCCCCGGAGTCTCCTGCTCCCGGCCGCCAAGGAGATAAACACTGCTGTTTCTCTTTTTTCTTTATTCTGACACGGAGCGATGTCAGAATAGAAAAAAATAAAATAAAAATGTTTCCCATTGACTGAGTCGAACTCCTTCTGCACTTCGGGTCGGCCGAACATGCTGAGCATGTTCGGCCGACCCAAAGCCATG